GAATCAGAAGTTAATTAATAATTTAAGTAGAGTATATTTCTAATAATATGATTAGTCCCGATAAATGGACTTCGATAAATGGACTAGTGTGCGGCCAATCCATCGGCCCCGGAAATGTCCCATCTAAGTAATTACGGACCCGCACGTGGTAATAGGCTGGTTCACCATTATGCTGGAACCACATGCGATCACGAACGACAGCCGAAATATCCCGTAGCAATGGCGGTAGCACTTCTTGCAGAAAAATATAACATAAGCATTTTGTACGTGCAGGTAAGAGGTATGCGCCTATGAGGTAGTCGTTAACAATACCCGCCCACACATTCACGGGGAAGCGGGTGTGGCATACATGTGAACGTGTTCCGTGTGGATTATGAGTTGCCCACACGTGTATGTTGTGGCTATTGAAGATGTCGTCCTGTGAGAAAGTTGCCTCGTCCATGAATAGCACATCCGATGGGAAATCCGCCTGCGCAGCACACTGCTGCAAGAACCAATGACAGAAATGAACTCGAAGAGGGTAATCTGTCTCTTGCAAGGCTTGGACGTTTTGCAAGTGGTATGAGTGCAAACCATTTTCATGCAATACTCTCCAAACGGTGGAACGACTCAGCTGCAGACGACTTGCAATAGCTCTTGTCTGACGTGATTCATGCACAATGTTCAAGATGGATTCTTCAATGCGAAGTTGTCGTGCACTTCTTCCTCTCCTAGTGAGTGAGTGAGTGCACCGCTATGATGGCTTCCGACCACGGACATGAACCAAACGGAATTATATACCATCACGGCGGGGAAGAGTCCAGTAACAAGGTTGAATATTATAAACTAATAACAGTTTTTACATATTGTTAACTGCAAGGCACTAAGCGTTATTCTGGTTATCTGCTTTAAGTTCTGAACTTTTGAAACATTATAATATTATCCACGGTTGTTTCTGCTTAGGCAGTGTTCTGAGATTTTCTCTATTTTATCAAGGGCTATTCTGTTTTTGAGTGTTTTAGTCGTCCACATTGCCCAGGCACAGTCCGCTGGTTTCTTCAAGTGCCAGGTTCTTGTATGTACACAATGGAAGTAATAATGGTCCGTGTCGCCTTCCTCTCCACATTCGCAGAAAGGAGTATCCCTAAGTCTGAATCTGTTCAGGTATACTGGGAATGGTCCATGACCTGTCAAGAACTGTGTTAGGCTAGCACAGTGGGTCTTTATTACCATGTTAACTTTTGGCAGTAAGCAAAATGTCCTTCGTCCTACCTCTGCCTCTATCCATCTACTTTGCCAATTTTGTAGCAAACTTGTCAAAGTTGTTCGCTTAATATGAGACCAAGGAAGTTTAGTTGGTCTTTCTAATATATCCGTACAGTTGGCTGCCTGCTTGGCCAGTAGGTCAGCGGCTTCATTGCCTTGAATCCCTGTGTGAGCGGGAACCCATTTTAAAGTGGGTCTTTGCGAAATAGGCATTGTCAGAAGCTGTTTCTGAATTCTGTATACCAATGGACTCCGGCTGTTTTGACTTGCGATAGCCGTCAGACTTGATGCCGAATCACTGAGTATGGAGAATTTCTCCTGTTGACATGTGTTCGCATATCTAATTGCAGCACTGATAGCTAGAAGCTCTGCTTGGTATACCGAGTTGTTCCAGCCTAATTTCCTTTTCCACTCGAATGTTACAACTCCATTTTCTAGTCTACAGAAGGCGCTGCCCGTGCCGTTCTCAGTTTTGGAGCCATCTGTGAAAAGGTTATTACTGTACCTCTGAATTGGTTGGTCGTTTATACTGATACCGTCAGAGAGATTAAAAGCTGCTGGATGAAAGTTATTGCAGTTGTTTTCTCCTCGTAGTCCGAGTGGTGATAACTATGACCCCAGAGTGTTGAAGTTTGACCCAGCCTGGTAACCCTTACGATAGCTGCCTCCCTTTCTACTATCAAATCTAGGGGAGGACTTCCTGCTAGTTGTTGTAGGGCTAGTGTTGACGTGGTACGGTAGGCCCTGCATACTTGAAGTAGCTGCTGTCTCTGAATAGAGAGCAGGGATCTTTTCATATGAGAGGTAAGTTCGCGCCACCCCAGATTGCTGCTCCATAAGTTATTACTCTTTCTGTAATGGTTCTATGCCAAATTTTTAGTAGCTTAGATGAGATACCCCATTTATGTGAAGTCATGCGTCTCATGTTGTTGCTTAGGATGCTAATTCGAGTCTTAAGATTCCTGACATGTGGCATCCAAGAAAGTCTGTTGTCGAGTAATAGCCCAAGATATTTCAATTGGGGGAAACATTTTACCGGTATCCCATGGAGTTTAATGCTTGGGTTGCGTCTTAGCTGCCTGCTGCGTCCTATGAGCAAAGCTTTAGTTTTCACTGCCGAAATCTGAAGCTTATGTGCTCTGGCCCATTGGGAGAACAGATAAAGACAGTATTGAGATCTCATTTCGAGGTTACTCCTTCCTGCCACAACTAGCATAAAATCGTCAGCATAGGCTATGATTCGAGCGTATTCTACGCTCTCAAACTGACGAAGTGCCGAGTTTGCCACTATATTCCACAGTGTTGGTCCAAGGCATGACCCCTGTGGGCATCCTCTAAAGACATTTTTGACATAAATGCCGCTGTCTGATGTTACTTGTACACTTCGATCTTGAAGGTATGAGCGAAGGATGGTAATAATGGCTGTTGGGCACGCCATGTTGTGCAGCAAATTTATTACGTCTGGCCACCAAAGGGAGTCAAAGGCTCCCTTGATGTCAATGGCTATTGCCAGTGAGTGCAAATTGTTATCCTTGTTCTGTTTGATAGTGGCCATTAAGTCTTTTATGGCATGTTCAGTTGAGTTGCCCATTCGGAATCCATATTGGTTGGGATGTAGGGCGTTGTTCCTTTGCAGGAAGAAGTCCAATCTGTAAAGAATTACTCTTTCCAATACCTTACCGAGCGCTGGCAGTAGACAGACTGGCCTGTAAGATGTAGGATCTGCCGGAGTTTTGCCTGATTTTAGGAATAACGCCACTTCTGCCAACTTCATATTTTTAGGAAAGTACTGATGTTTCCAGCAAGCTGAAATGACCACAAGGAATAGTTTTGGGAATTCCCGGTGTATCTCTCTAATGATGATATTATCAATTCCATCCGGACCTGGAGCTTTTTTGGGTGCCAGAGTACGTATGATGTTATCCACTTCCATTTGCGTAGGAGGGGGGTTCGTCTCTTCTGGTAACTTGGCGAAATTTCATACTGTAGGTTTTTCTCGCTTCCTCTTGCTCCTCTAAGAAATCCTCTTCATCATCATCAGGAAAAACTGCATTTATGATCTCACTGATTACTTCGATGTTGGATGAGGCAGTGCTATTCACCATAGGCGAAAGGGTCGTAGGACGAAACACCTTGTTACATGTTATCTTTTGAGTAGGTCCAAAGGCTTTAGTGACATTACTACAGTAAGTTCTCCATGAGATTAACTTGGCCTCTTTAATTTTTCTTTTATATAAAGCTCTGGCTTTATTGTATGTTATCATTTTGAGTTGCCGTAGATATGGATCTACCGTGGATTGTGCTTTTCTGCGAAGTGCTCGAACTCTGCTCCTCTCTGTGGTAAGCTCTGGTGACCACCAGGATATTGAGTGTTTTGCCTTTACAGATTTCAAACGATATGCTTTGTGGGCGGCTTGCACTATTTTTGTAACTAGTAAGTCGTAGAGATTATCTAAGGAGTTTCTGTCCTGGCAGTTGTTGAAATCTTTGATAAATTTCTCTACGTACGCTCGAATGTGTTCCCGTAAAACGGAATGTCCTCCAAATGCCGTTTTGAATCTTTTCTTTATTATGTAGTCTATAGGAGTATCCAGCCTGTAAGTAATAATTTTGTGATCACTGAGTGACGGCAGGTCACTCACTGTCCAATCTTGTATGTACGGAGTTGTAATTGGGAGTTGATATTGTTAGATCTGGCCACCCTCGAGCTCTAGATGTTTCAAAGGTAGGCGGTGAGTCCTGAGCGTTGATGACAATGAATGCTTACTTACTGTCCAAGAATTCGAGTACCGCAATTCCCCTTCGGTTCTCCGAGTCAGCACCCCATAGTTGACTGGTGGCGTTAAAGTCTCCTGCTATACAGTGTGATGCCCCAGTTAGAAGGTTAGAATTAAGTTCCTCTAATAGAGAGGTAATATCTTCGCTCGGGGGAAGATACACAGCAATAATATCAATGCTGCAATTACTAGTGTCTAGTCTGATGGAGACTGTATGCTCTGTGATTTTCATTAGGAGAGGGGAGAGAGGGCCACTGTAAATAATCGCAGCTAATGACCCCTTTTCACACAGAGACCGTTGCAACCTCTCGAACAATGTGTGCTTCGGCATACGCCTGTTCGGAAACTGTTCCTGGTACAACCGTAGCGCTGCTCTGCCGTTCCCATTAGCAGCACCATACATGAGATGCATGTCAGCTTTTTCCGTGTGCTTAAACTCAGCCATCACGCTCGACATCAGAGTTGCGAATGATCCTCTGATGCATCGGATCGTAGTTTGTCCGGCTCACTACCGCCCTCTACCGCTGCATTGTCAGCCAATCACAGCTGTAGTTCCTATTACTGTTAGTGTTCCCTTTTTTTAACATTTATTGTGAATACTGTATTGCTGCAAAATGTGTTTATGTACAAAATTAATGCACTTTGCGGTGATTTTGTACATAAACACATTTTCCTCTCGTGTCGTTTTTTTGCGTGCCTTAAACCCTACATTTCTATACAAAAAATGCATGTTTTAGTACGCTCCAACACCCCTCCAAGTTTTTCCCATGATCTATGAAACACTCTGTATATTTACTAACTATCTTTATTAGTTAGTGTCTGTCCGAGACTTCGTCTGCGTCATATTAAAGACTTCACATAACTATTTTGGTTTGCTTTGTTTCTAAATATTGTGAGTGGTAGATGGTATTTGAATGGTAGATTAAAATGTATTTAAAGAACAAAATGTTGCTTTATAAAGGGCCACATGTTTCTTACCTGGGTAGTCTTTAGTATCAGGCGAAACCAGATTGGAAGCCTTAAGAACTACGAGAGTCAAACGCCCTGCAGAAGGTAGGTAACTTAATGACAGAAGAATTTCAGGTCTGTCTTGAGATACCTGAATAAGAAAATAGCCTATAAACTAATCTGTTGCTCAGAGGAAACTTTCAGGTATAAACAAAATTCAGTAAAAAATAATACAGCGCAAAATAAAAATTTCGTAAAAAATTAGAATCCGCATCAGCAACAGAAGATGTCATCCTTGAGTAATGCAAGATTCTGATTATTATTCACATTTACTAATCTGAGATTTAAGGAAACAGGGAATATTTAAGCTCTCCTGTAATAACAAAATTGCAACTCAGTAGTAATAAAAGGTAATAAGTAGTAGGCAGCAATTCATATATTAATAAATAATAACTTAATGGTAACTCATATAGTAATAAAACGCAACTCAATTCGTGTTACATTAATACATATACCTTACAAATATACTCATACTGTGTATATTCAAATCAAGTATTTTGATATATTTTTATATCTGTTACTTCATTTCAAATAGACTAAGTTAATGAATGATAAGGAATTTATAACATTTGTAAGAGTATATTACACGCACATTTTTATAGCTACGATATATTCAAATAGATATTTCATTCTTCACTGATAAAAATCATTGCCTCACCAACTAATACCCAATTGAGTTTGTACTCATAGTGATTATTTTATAAAATTCAAAATAGTTAAGTAACTCACATAAAAATGAAGTATTAACAAAGTAAAATATTTTACATAATAAATAATAATCATTATATAAAAGATCATTATAATCTAACAAAAAGTTTCAATGCAGTTTCAGCCAGAATACCATCTTCATATTCATTTACAATCAAATTTTATAAGTATGGTTTTGTCACATCAAAAGCTATAGTGCTCGTATTAGTGTGACCATGAATATCACATTTATAAATACATGCGAGTATATACACCTGCAAAAATTGTTAATTCAAATAATCCTTCTCTGAAAGCATAAAAATTTGTTCTGCACTTAAAAGGCTTTCTTCTGTAGCATTTAAAACTATTTCCTATACAGTTGTTATCATTGAGTCCAAATATGTTTACACTTTACAGTAACTTACCAGTTTTAAGATAAACAAGGATGGCATCTCGTCTGTGGAAAGAAATATCTCATAAAATCCACAAAAGTTGGAAAAGTTATGGAGTCTCGTATGTTTTGATAACATAAACTTACGAGCACTAGAAAAACTGTAGAGGAATTATCCTCGTCTCTTTAGAAGCAGAGAGACAAAGTTAGAAGAAGGATGTAAAACGAAGGAAGGCTCTGGCTTGTAGAAGCCGGCAAGACGTGACGTGGCCTAAAACAGGCAGAACACGCTCTAAGATCAATTTGCGAAACTTTGCTTAGCTAGCATTCCCTTAATCTCAGTAAACGCGTGTATGTAATTTACATTCTGGTATGAAACGCGTAGGTGAAAAGCAGAGCAACAGAAAAGTTGTTTTAACTCAAAGTTAACTATTAGTCAAAATAAATAAATAAATCTTCACAAAGTAATATATTGTCCATACTTTAAAAAATATTATATTGCTTCTGACATTTACATGAAGTTGTGACAAGTAAATATTTCCATAATCTATTAAAGTTTCGCAATGTTTTCATATTTATATACGGAAACAGAAGGCATTCAGAAAGTAAATTTGATTTTAAACGCTCAACTTTTTTTTGAATGAGTAATTGAGAAGCCGCAGGTTTTTCCTTATTATATACAATGCATCTGAAAAGTTTCAGATTTAATTGTTTAATAAATTCCAGCAGCCCTGCCAAATGATAACTGACAACTTATATTGCAATGCTTTTATTGCTTTAATTCGCTTTTCCTAAAATAACATTTACTACGGACAGATTTTTATAAGTAATTAACGGTTTGCTTTGATCCAATGAATGGATTCGAACAGCTGAGAAAAGAATAACAATAAGAGTTTGCTGTGAAGCGAGAATTAATCATAATTTTCAAACAAAAAGAAACTAAATATCCAGGGTTCGATTCCTGGGCTGGGCAAGGTCGACTCAGTCTTTCATGTCTTGATTTTCATCCCTTGGGTCGATAAAATGAGTACCAAGTTCGCTTGGGGACTGTCACAGGACACTGGGGTCCTGCGACATGCTGACCACTTGTTCAGGGCATATGCTTACGCACCCCGGGGCCCACGGTCAAGAAAGCAGATTTCGGGCACAGCAGACCTTGGCGCATTAAGGCTGTTACGCCACTGAGTTTAGTTTTTTCTAGAAACTAAAGATAAATCTTGATGTTTATCTCATGATCTTGAGACAAACTTCAACCATCTGCTGAGCTCATAGAAGGTTCACCATAACACAAAAACTTTGGTTTTAGAACTTCGAAAAAATATCATTTTAGTGACTAGAAAAGATAATTTAAAAGAAGGTGTAGCTTAGTAATAGAGGATTAACTCCATATTTAAAAAACTAATGGATAAAAATGTGATGTAATCCCCATTTAAAATATAAACATTCTGAAGGTATTCATCGCAGTCTGTAAAATATTAATTGAATAACTTGTATCATCTGCGCAAAAATACTCCCTCATACAATTCTCTTGTGTTCAAAGACTTTTTACAAATAAAAAATTTCACACTTTTCAGCTGGCACATTTAAAGGGCGATTGAGTCCTCTAATTCCCAGTAGCCCTTTAAAAGGGGGAAGTATATAACGTATTTCTCCCTCCTTCTTAGAATGCCTTCAGCACGCTCGGCGCGTATTCGAGGGATCCGAGGTTCGAGTCACGACGAGGGCATTTCCTCATTTTTCTGTCTTCTGCTTCAAAGCAAAATAACCTAATATCTTTACAATTTTACCATCAAAAATAGGTTATATACTGCTGAATAAAGAAAAAGAAGAAATCTTTTGGCACTGTTTTCAGTTGTTTCCAATATGGTACCTGAATATGTTACTGGCTTCCCAGGTTTCCAGACTTGATCGCTTCTGATTTTTTTCCTCAGTGGATTTGTCCAAGAACACCATGTATGCATCACCTGCATCCACTGTATTACATCAGTATCGGCAAGGAATAGATTTAGTAGTGCATTCCGTAGCCACAGAGCAAAAGCACGAGTGTCACGTAAAACTGACGTTTTCTTTGATATATGTCAGTTTAAAGAAAGTGCAAACACATAATGCTTGATACAGCTAATTTTCGTTCTTTCTATATCAGGTGGAGTATGACACCCTATGTTTAGAGGAAAAAAATTCAGAAACAAGTAAAATATAGTCAATCTTTGTGAAATACTATATATTTCCGTATATAAGCCAAAAAAAAAAAAAAAAAAAAAAAAAAAAAAAGATTTTTATACTAACATAGACAAAATTATAAACGTGTGTATAACCCGACTTTAAAATCGCCTTGTTATATCCAAGTACATATTGCCAAAGTAGTGAATAATTAGGCATCTGATTTAGACAGACTTATCAAACAAGCCAAAAATGACTAAATATTTTTTATACTCTCGAGCTATTAAGGGTCGATATTGAGAAATTTCGAAATTGAAAAATCTAATGCATGTATATTAGAGTTAAATTAAAATAATATTTTTAAAAAATTATTTAATTTATAATGTTATTTTTTGAACGAATTATTTAAACTTGAACTCGTAAAGAAGCCGACCTCCAAATTTCAGTCGCAAAGCATTTACTAAAATGTTTCAGCTTATAAATAGAAATATGTGGTACCCTATATTATAATAAATGCTACGAATGCTGTTCATACTGCTTGATGGGAAAAAGCGGAAGAAAGCGCGATCTGTAGATTCAGTTATACGTGTTGTCTGCGCAGTTCCTTTAAAACACCTAAATAAACAAAACAACTCCAAAAAACTCACCTAATATAACCTATAGAACTTCAAAACGCCCAAATATATAACTCTAAAAGTGTAAATAAGTGGTTATTTGGCTTAGCTAGACCTATCAACCAAGACTGTTAATTCCTTGTATTTAAAAAAATAGGGAGTCAATATAGAGAAAATTCGAAATTAGGAATAAGCTAAAGAGACACTGAGTAAGACATTTTTTTTGTATACATTAAGTAAATAATTTACTTCGAAATGAAGAGAACCGAACTGCCTTCTAAAACGTTTTTCGGATATTACTGAAATTGAACAAGGACGTTTTATTACAAGCTAAACGGAATGCACGTGAGTAAGTAGTATATCTACTCACTCTTCCACTTTTTTGTATTTCGCTCCAGACTTCTATTTCAGAAGTGATGTCCACTTCGCACATTTGTATCCGAACTTCACCTGTGACATCATTCCGGGAGAACCTATCATAATCGAATACTTGGAAAAGCAGTGATTTGTCGGCCAACTCATCGTATGTGACAGGAAACTTAAAAATCTCATTGAAAAAGGGATCCGAGCAATTCCTTCTGATGTCTGTTCGTCGGACTTTAGAATCCACTTCCGGTATGAGGGATACTTTTACGTAAGGGTCATTGAAACCATTTTCTGAAAGCGTTCCCAGGTCTAAGGCTGGAAAAGAAATTATGGTACATTTAATATATAGCTCAAACGAAGTTTTTATAAATATTTTCTCTTAACTTAATTTAAGAACTACTATATCACATCAATTTTGCCAGAGAATAGCAGTAATCAGTATCATTGCATTTAGTGACATGAGGAGAATCATGACATGATTTAATGACGTGAGGAATAATCAGTGTTATTACATTTAATGCCATTAATGCATTTAATGTCATTATGACAGCAGGCAAAGAACTTCGCATTTTAATAGATTTCGTCAATAAACAAGTTGTACAATTCAGTGAACATAAGATAATTAATGAAAGTAACATTGTGACAAGTATTCGTAAGTTTTACTAATGGTTTTGTTTAATTTAAACTCCATGCTATGCTTGCTCATGTTAAAATATTCAATCAGACCGGAGAGTTATGTAAATTTAATGGCATGTGGTGTAATTTAAAAGCAGAAGCTTATCGGAGCTTCTGACACGTCACTCTAAATCCAAGTGCTGATCATAGCCAACATCTTCAACAGTGAGTCTATCTAAAAGTGCAGCACTTGGCGAGAAAGCAAGGGCAAATTACAACGCAGCACATGGCTAAGATACAAACAAAAATTGCATAGAGTCAGCTAGTCAGTTTCACTAGCACTAGCAAGTTTCTCCTGCTATTAAGATAGCGGGAGAAACTTGCTAGTGCTTTAATAGCTCGTAAAGAAGATACTGAGTTAATTCTAAGTATCTTTTTTGTATTTGTAAGAACAGGTTGCGTTCTACAGTACGTGGCGATTCTACAGTAAGCAATTAGCACCTCCACTTAGGAAATGGAAGATCCGCGTTTGGAATAGAGACAACGGTGCAGATGATAGTTCCCATTTCTCGTTTCGAAAACCCGAATAGTTCTAGTATATAAAGTGGTACCAGAATTAAAATGCTGCATGTGTAAACCAATGCATCCTTAAGTTTACAACATAATTTAAATTATTTGGCTTGGTTTGGTTATTTTTTAATTTGGGATACCGGTTACCATTTCGACCAAATTAAAACATTTGCTTTTCTTTCACATGCTATAGCGCAGATTCATTACAATATCGAAACTGAATTTAACGCCAAAACACCCGTGTTGAATTAATACAAATTAGAAATATTTATAGATAAATCCACTTTTCTACAAATTCAAAGCAATTGTTTAGTACAACCATTTATTTGTCCGATAGATCAGTTTTGCCTTTTGCACACAAAAAAGGACGATATCCTTTTTTTCGTATGATATATACGAATTATCACCTTTTTGTTTGAGTATTCGTGTACTGGAAATGGCTTGTAAGTGCATTTAGAAATTCAAAAGTTCGTTGTTTCATGTGTCGTGTTCCAAAAAATACAGTGATCTTTTTAAGTAAATTACGGAAAATATTTCTGTCGCTTGTAAATAACCTGAACCGAAGCACAAAATGTGACCACCGGTCCATTCAAAGGATTGCACTATATTTTAATCTAGGTCACTTTACCTTGATCTTTAAAATACTTGTGTCCAATTTAAGATTTAACGTAGGTGCTTTTGTGCGAAATTCTGTTCTTCTGTCTATAAGTATAATGACCCTTGCGCTGAGTTTAGCTTGCTAATTTTAATACCTTAAACACGTGCATGATTGGATAAATAACTACAAAGACGCTGGAAATGACGCATTTTAATTCAACACGCTATATAATTTAAAAATAATAATACCTTCTATCACGTGGACAACCAAATCCGATCTGTCGAAATCGTATTTAAGGCGGAAATGGAGACGGCCGTATTTAGTGCCATCTTGGCTGTCCGTTGATTGGTGGAAGAAGACCATATCCTTTTTCTTATACAAATCTGGCTGAATGGATCCTGCAATTTAAAACAAAGCTATAAAAATGAGCAGAAATTTTTGAGTATAGTAATTCACGAAAACCATTTTAACGGATCATTCCAATTCATAGCATATTGTATTATGAATCCTTGAAATAAAAGAGCATAAACCTGTTTTAAATAAAATTTTGCAGTTAATAAGGTTAGTAACAAGTGAGCGAAGTGGATTTAATTAGTGACCGTCGAAAAAATAACGTGCAAGAATAACACAAAGTGAAAAACATCATGGTAGACAACATCATGGTAGAAAAGGAAATAAAAGAGAAAACGTTGTAGTTCTAAAGCATCAGGGTAGGAAATAAAGCGCTGTAAAAATGAGCAGATTTAAAACGTTACCGAGCAAAAAATCATGGCAAAAATAAAGTACCTACAAATCATCATGTCACAATAACATGGTATATATGTATATTTTCAGATTTTAAAATCCGCAAATGCATATTCGCTGTTGCATAAGAATAATAATAAAAAAAAAAGTATTTCAGTTTCTAGCATGCAGGAAAAATAAATACATGTGTGAAAACAAAGAGGATAATTTCGAGAAAAAAATTAATCTAAAATACAGAGTTAAAAAATGATTAATCTCCAATGATGATAGTGCCAAGCACATAAATTACTTTAGCAGGTAGAGTTTCGAATTCGTAAACTGCGTATTCTACGACACTTTCGCCATGCGATGGATTTGTAACCCGCATTATACTTGACTACGATATTTGATGCAAAGATGTTTTGAAAGTGCGAAGTCTTCCTGTTTCTTTATTTCCTACCGTAACATTTTATAATGCTGTGTTATTTCTGTGCTTTCTTTTCTTTGGCGTTTTAACGACGACATTTTTCTCTCACGTTGCGATGTTTTCACCCGTAACCGATCTGCGATGTTTTTCACCCGTAAACGATTCAATATCTGACTCGAAAAAAATGCTTTTTAATTCTATCTTTTTCTTCATATTATAAAACAGATACATCAGCATTCAAACACATAAAGAAATAGGCATCTCTTAAAGTTGGACACGTGACAGAGAGCTAAGACTCCTGGCGGTTACCAGAGGTTAATATGAATTGCCTTCCCCCCACCCCCGCTATCAAGACTTTACTGTAACAAAAAATAATTTTGAGGTCGGAAGACAAGGGTGAGAGTATATAAATTATACATTACATTTATTTTTCCGCCTAGAACATGATGAAAACTTTGGTCTTACAGAAGTTGAGCGTGTTTACTAGCTAAAAATGCGATTTTAGAGCGTAATAAAATAACACTAAACTAAAATGAATATTAAAATTTTACTAAAACTAAGAATACACTAAAAGTAAAACCAAAATTATACACATAACTTATGTTATATATTCACTGTGCACCAGCTGGAAAGAAGTGTAGCTCGGTGAGTGAATGTCCCTGATTTGATTAGTGCTGTTGACAGATATCTTGTCCCATTGCTAGTATGAATTTTGTTATTCTGCAGATTTTATTAATAGCCGTTCTGTTGATAATAATAAACCTATTATATGCATCAACGCTGTTGATAAGAAAACGTAGATGATTTGCCGCTGTTAGGGGGCAGTGGAAAACGAAGTGACCATTGCAGCCTTCGTCTACCCAGACTCAGACATCTGTGTCAGAGATAGTAAAACTATAGTGGGATACGGACCATGCCCAGCAATATACTAACTGGTTAGTTACGAGATGGTAATTTTATGTGTTGGTGAAACTTTCGGTATCATACCCCACGTTCGTTTTCCTATGTCACTATGGTCCCATTCGAATTGTCATATTTGGATCGCCTTGCTCAGCAAAGAGTACTTCAGGTGTGATGATGGCGCTGAAATGTTAAGTTCTGTTGCATTTATGTTGCTGGCTTCTTACTTTGGCGTGCATATCTGCTGTTTCGTTTCCTTCCAGTCCGGCATGTGCTTTTACCCAAGTAAGATTTATGCACGAATATTGTTAAATAGGAGTCTCTGTATTTCTGTTATTAAGAGAGAGGTATGATTAAGGTTCAGAATTTAGAATAGTAGTAGTAACTTAAAGTAGGATGGGTTCATTTAACATAAAACATTTAAAATCACACTTTCTTGATAAGAGATAGGCGATAGATAATTTTTGTAGTTTTTGCTTCTTAGTTTGTGAGCAATTCCTTTAAGACATATTTGTCTAGTGTACTATTATCGAAACATTTCGATTTTATTACTGCAAGAAAAAAATTTTAAATAAGTACTTTCGTTTTGATTCTGGCATGAGTTAACAGTATCGCGTATAAACCAGGTACTGCCTAAATTGTTTGCTTTTTGGGACATGATGAAAAAAAAATGCTATCACACAACCTTTAGCGTAAAACAAAGTTCTATATAGGAAAAGCAAAATAGAAACGAGAAATATTGTTTTTATTCACAACAGTACTTAATTGTCGTAATACAGGTTATATATCCATTATGCAACAAAAAGGCACAAGATTCTCTCGGTCCTTTTTTAGCAAGTTTAAGCTCAATACAGTTTTACAATTATGTTGTAAATTTTTTTCTGTGATGTCATTTAAAATTTAATTTATTCAATTTTAGAAATGTTTATTTTCCCATTATTTAGAGCATGTTTTTTTTTTAAATTTTTAATACTGATTTAACTCATATAGCAAAATGATCTAATTTTCCAGATTAAGCTGCTTGAAAATGCAGGCAAATAGTACTTTGCTATTAATTTATAAGATATGTTTTTTCTATTTCTGGTGTTCTTTTAATATCCCTCGGATTAACTCTGATTTCAAATTAATCATGAAAGTTGTTGCAGTAATGGATGATTATGTCAGTTATTCTTACATTACTTTGGAAGAAAAGTTTACAATAAGAAACATATTTTTTTTGCTTCCATATTAAATTAGCGGCCCGGAGAACAAATTTTGTAGCCATACAGTTTTACTCCGAGGAATAATAAATTAAAAAATAATAGACGTCTTTCTTTTATGTAGCAAACATTTTTCAAGTAGCTCTTCAGGTAGCTTCCATCAAATTGAGTTGCTCTCTGTCGAATAACTTAATCACTGCTGAAATAGTCCTAGATTTGAAGTTCTTTTCTATTCCTTCTCCTTTCAAAGTGATTTCTAAAGAAATCGATATGAAGTTGTCTAACTTGACTACTAATTAGTATGGAAAATACGGCTTTATACAAATTTAAATAAATTATTATTTTATTTTTAATACCCATTTTAAAATTGTAATTGAAACCTTTACAATTTCTTTAGTAGGAACATTGATTTAATTTCGGTCAGGTTCATTTCATTCTCTTTTACTATGATTCTCATTTAAAATGAAATTACAATTTAATTTTTAACTGAAAATTATTGTATGCTTACTCCAACATAAAATCTGCAAACGTAATATCTTTGTCCAGCTCAAATCATGACATTTAGTTAGCAGAATATTCCCTAACGCTGCATAAATGCTTCTTTTTAAGGATTTTACATTCGCAAAAGCAGTACTTCACTTTTATTATAAGTGATAAACAAGGTTAACAACACTTCCAAATTAGTAATCATGTATCCCATTTCTGACAGAATTATATTATGCGATATACGGGTATAACGGAGAAGAAAGCATTTAAGTTAAAGCTTTCTAAAAATGCAGTAAATTAAGCTGATTTTTGGCTTTGATAGCGCAGGGGTTGAATAACTGCCCTCTACTAAAAGAGGTCGTGAGCTCGAAGACCAATCGGCCAATTCCTATGGGATTCCCTAAAGCAGGTTCCATATCAAATTGTAGGAGGAATATAAATGGCTTATCCAGCCTGAACACTACAATCGACACCGAAACGAAGGTCATACATATATATCGCTCCAATAGCTCGGTTGTACAGTACTTTAGAATATATCCTGGAAAAGATGCTTCCAAACTGAAGTCAAAGTTTTTAGCCCCTCATAATACAATTGTAAGTTAAGTAATTAAGAGCCCGGTTAAACTTAAAATTTGCGAAGAAAAATTATTAACTCAAAGGAATACTTTTTTAGACTAGTAGTGAAAAAATAGGTAGATTTAGACAAGTTGGATCTCATGTAACATTTTCAGCCAGACAATAAAAATTATTTCGGATAATAGACACATCCTGACCACTATTTCAGTGGATCTGAAAACTGTATATGATATTGAACAAGACACAACTTCTTAAAGCGTTAAAAATGGAATAAAATCTAGCACAATGAAATGTCTGAGCAGTTCGTTCGAAGCGTGTGAGAACGATCACATATGGAAGTTGTTTTCCTACATGCAAAGTACTCAAGACAGGCCTTCCTTACGGATTTTCTAGCAAGACTCTCTTTAATGAATATATTAGTGACATATATTATTAGATATTTTCTCCTTCCTTTCCGCATGCCTTTGTGATATAATTAGAAGAACACTCCATCTGTATTCCGGAGGTTCAGAGTTCATGCCCCGATGAGGGCATTACACAGTTTCTACGTCTCCTGCATAAAAAAAAAAAAAAAAAAAAAAAAAAAAAAAAAAAAAAACCTAATAAACTAATGATCCTGTAAGTGTCGCCCGAACTAAAAGATGGTAGACGTTAATCCATCAACACCAGGATTTGACGACTGGTTTCCCTCATCCCCAGTCGTCTTTTAAAATGGAAAATATACAGGGTATTTCTTTCCTCCTTTCCTCATGCCTTCGTTGTGTAACTAGAAGCACACTCGACTCTTATTCGGGAGGTCTGAAATTCGAATACCGGCAGGGGTACTGCACATTTTCACGTCTCCAGTATTAAAAAAAAATGATTCTACAAGGTTTTAAGATGATACCTATGGTGGATATTATATAACTCCTATAGGCATCTGATATAGTTATTTGGAACTAATCTTCTAAACAAGTCATTGAAAGAACAATGCTTTCAAGTTCTCAAAGCACAGAGAATTAGTGTGTTGTGACTGACAAGAAAATAATATATGTAAAATATTATTCCAAAACTCCTTTTGTCCTACTGATGCTAATTGTCTAAGCTATTTCTGATTTTATACGAATTTTTATTGCAAATAAATGGGAAAGTTACGTGCTAAGAAGATTGTGATATGCGTCTCAATCTGCATGATTCTCTTAAAAACTCTTGCCGGTTCCTATCAAAGAGTGTTTAAGTTCGATTTTATACTTGACAAATAAAATAGACGCTCTTGCCTTTGGCATTTTACTTTTGGGATATTTGAGGACTTAAAGTTTTCGAAACACCGTTCTATGTTACATTATGGAATAGTAAATAAATATTCCTACTAATGCAATGTTGTGGCGACTAAACAAAGATACTGAAACTTTAGGCCTACCAGCGGTCGCTGGTAGTAAAGTCGCTGAACACTGGTAGTTCGGTCCGAGGTTCGAATCCCGCGAACGGGCTGGCTGCATGGGTGTTTTCGTGGTTTTCCCCATGTGTAACGTGTATACGAGCCAGTTTCCCTTAGAAAGTCCTCCACGAAGGCATCCCTCCCCTTAGGCAGATAGCCCTAGTGTGCTTTGCCATAATTAAATACACCACACACTGAAACTTTAGATCATGCCATCAGAAATGGACTACAGCGAAGTTTTACTGTCGAAGGAAGAATTGGGGAGAAAACTAGAGCGATCAACAAAATAATTTACCCGAAGAAGATACTTAGAAAAGCGAAATTGGGATATGAGAAATCAGACAATTCTTACTGAAGTAGAGGCGAAACTCTTTCTCAGAACTTTGCTCTTCTATACTGTGAGGCTGCATGCCAAAACCTTTGTGTTCTGTACATTTTATTATTCGAAAAGAATTACATTTTTATCAAAGAACAAAATTAAGATTAAAAAAATTTTGATGGAAAATGATATTAGAGATATAAGAAGAGATTCACTCTAATTCAAACGCTATGAAAAGCATATAGTTCACAATTCGGCGCGTTGTCAGTCAGTGCGAGAGATTAAGAAGGACTTCACAATACTTGGTACGTAATAAATGCTAATTAAATGATTGTAAGAAATTCGATATCGTCATTTAATTAATCAGGCAAAAGAAAGGACTATGTGTGCATGTACATTGAAAACGTCAAATGCGATTTAGTCTTGCGTAACACCAGTACTCGGAATTGAGTTCAATTGAGGAAAATCCAAGCCTACATTTTTCTAGGCTGGAAGAAATAAAGCTATTGCTCTGAGCAATTTCACTTTCAAAATTTAACGAAGAATAAGCAACGTAAAAGGGTCTGTCTTGTTTTTCAACTTCGTTACGCTTATCTGATTTCCTGACTGGATATTCAGATGTTTGGGAATTCCTAGTCTCTAATTAATTTATACATGAGAGAGATGACCATACTTGAACGAATTTGAACTTCGATGTGAAACTCTTTACATGATTACATATCTGAACACACGCTAATACAACTCGTCTCTATCTATCGAAATGTTTCAAGCGTCTCTGCTGCGAAGGTGTAAAGTGTACGCCGGGTCATGCCCTAAGTCTCGACTGTTTGAGGGGTTTAATGGGCTAAACGATGGAGCTTGCGACAGTACCACTTTCGTAAACTCTGCTATTTCAAAAGGAAATAGACTGGCTGCTCTTGCCCCTTGACGTTTTCAGTCCTACAGTGCGGTACCGAAAAGCAAGCCACAAATGGAGCTTACAGATTTTATTTATGCCATCGCCATATCTTTAAATGTCCTTACACATTTAATATTTATTTTTAAATTTCATTTTTTTTTTATTTTTTTGAATTTGATTCTTTAGCATCTTTATTCTTTAGTAGCTCATAAATTGTTTTATATTTTATAATTTTGGCTTCAGATGTCTTGTTTTTATAACCCGGAATTAAAAAATATTGAAATAAAAAAACATTTTTCAGTTTATTTTTATGGAAAAATAAATCACGTATATTAAGTGGCTTTTTTTCTCTCCGTTTCAAGAATGAATTATAATTTATTGCTTTTCCTAATCTTTATTTACTTCCATTTGAGGGAAAAAATTGCTGCCTGGAATACATTTCATTAACTGCGAGTTTCGAAAACTTATTTTATGCAAAGCTCTTAAATTGCAAACCGCTTAGAAAATTATTGATCAGTTGCATAAAGGATAGATTAACAGTTAGAAAAATGTTTCCTCATTAATATGCATTTAATTTGAGAAACCATGTTTAATAAGGATAAAATTTTCAGTGGTGTGTTTCGATTATTACTGGTGTGACACAGATTATTAATTTTAACGGAAGGAAGACAAGTTTAAGAACATTAAAATTTTATACCATCTGAAAGCTAAAACACATTAATAAATGAAGCATTGAAATTAATTCACTGTGAAACAAGCATTCGGAATTTGATGAAATCCTTTTAGTTTTTATCATGAAAAGAACTGACAAAATTTTAAAAGGTTTAATATCATATGGAAACTATATGCGGCCATTTATAAATATGCAAAACATGCCAAAATATCAAATAATATTTTATGATGCTACATATGAGAAAATTTTGACAACACTGATTTACAAAGGCTATTACAGACCTTCATCTCTTTTATTATTAAAAGAACGCAAATATTTATTCAAGGGCGACAGATTCTACATAATAAGTTTTACAAACTAGAGTTTAAAAGTTACTAGTATAAGGACTACAACTAGAATAGCTAACTACTGAAATCTTTACAAGCATTTATGTCTATCTATCATCCGTGATATTATGTTTTATAGTATGCCTGTAATTTCCTGATTTCTTTAGTAACTACTATAGTTCTCATCAAAAATCGAGACAGCTGGAGGGAAAACGTTTTGGCATAATTGTTCCAATTTTTGCACACAGCAATAGGCATTTTATTATTTTAACTAATACTATATTGGCTGTGAGAGGAAAAATTGTTTTACTTGTTATTTTAGCATGTCTTGGATAACAAGAAAAGTTTTGATATTGATAGGAAATTAGCTGATAAATTAGCTACTAGCAGTTTATGATAAGAAGGAAAAAGGTACACTACTTTTGCTCTAAAAAGATGCTTATTATAGACCGTTATGAATATGATAATCTTCGCAGATAGCTTTAAAAATGTTATGCTAAACAATAAACTTGCATGTTTGATATATTATTTAAAATAGGACACAGAGAAAAGATAAAAACTGCCTTTTTAGCGTATTTGTAAGATTTTCTTTTTGTGACACAACAAGCTCCCTAAATATTCATTTGGAAAGCCGCTAGCCCAAGCAAATAAAATTTAAATAATTCCTTAACTGAAAGAATTTGTATCATCTTCAAGAACAAATAATAAAGTCACAATTCCATTAATACCCAAATAAAATTTTAAACGCTGCCAAGAACATCCTATTGAAAGTGCAGTATCAACAAGTATAAATATTAGAAGAGGTAATTTGATATGCAGAGATTACTTTTCCGATTGAATGCAATGACACTCACCGAGTGGGCTAGCAGATCCGGGACTCACTCCGCAGTCCGAATCCTTGGAGTCCCTGGAGCTCTGCGAGTTCTGCGAGTAGGCCGGGGAGAGCAGGGGGCTGAGAGATCTGGGCCTGATCCCCCCTGAGGTGGGGCTGACGGGCCTCAAGACAGGATCCGGAGATCTTGTTTCCGGAGATGGAGTCCTGAGGTAAGAAGGCGACGCTGGGCCCCCTGTCTGACTCTCACATCTGGTACAGATGGAGAGTCGGGGTACGGGACATGGCATCGCTCGAGCGTCCATGGATCGGGCCCGGTTAACTGGAGATCTGAAACAATAAAGCATATTCGAAATGAAAAACAAATCTGTTATTTATCTACAAAAGAATCAGTATTGAAATGAAAATCAAGAATTTGCCTCCTGAATGAGTGGAAAGTCTACACTAACGAAAGATTTACCCGAGCTTACCCATGCTTAATTTACCATGCCTCTGTTTCAACAAAAGACAAGAAGTGTTTGAGAGAAAAGAATGATTACTAATCAGTAAATAAATTTCAGCCAAGCGTTTATGTATTTAACTAACAGAGAAAATAAATCTGAAGAAAAAAGAAAAACTCTCTGTTTGTTACAAGACCGAAGATGTCTTAAGCGCAATAACTATCAAAGTAACCTCGAAAACCTTCTACTGTAATTTTCGGCTATACTTATATGATTCATTACATTTCTTAAAAATTGTTAATAAACGAATGTTACAACTTAAACCGTAAAACAGGATAAATAAGCTTAGAAGATGGCTGTCATATAAAGTATTTCCGTTTTTGAAAGTCAAATTTTATGAAAAAGAGAAAAGAAAGTTTAAGAAAATAAAAACAGAGTGTAACATAATCTATTTACCAGTAAATACGTACCTTACTCTTACATCTGATAATTCATTCCACATGCATATTGCTATGATATAGAGGTTGCTATGACATAAAGCTTGAAACCAGAATAAAGACATTCATTTTCAGTGAACAGTAAATATAAAGTATGAATAAAAAAATACATGATATATTATACATTCATCTCATATTACATAAAAAGTTCATCAGGGTAAGCAAGATCTTCATAGAAAATTATTATTTTTAGAATTTCAGGTATTACCAGCAGGTGCAGGTACTTTATCAGAAACAGAGCAGACGTAAGGAAAAATAATTATTTTGCCTTGGGATTGGCCTTTGTAATATAAAAATGTACTTTAAAAAAATTAAACAGAGCTAATTTTCTGTTCAGCTTCGAAATCTCTATATTACAGACCCATGGCTGACTGTCGTATTATCTAGATAATGTAAATTATTTCTCCTGTCTTCCAACTTTTATCTATATTTTCTCTATGATTATGATTTCGATTCTTATTTTCCTGAATAATTTGTTGTATCTACATGATTAGTTTTTAAGGTACTTCTCCCGCCTCCTTAGCAAGCCTTCGTGGTGAAGTGGTCATACCTGGCGCATATTCCAGAGGTCAGTAGTTCGAGTCCCGGCAAGGGCACTGCTAATTTTTTCCTGTCTCTTGCTTCGAAATAACCTAATGTGTCTACAGTGGAGAACTACTGAACTTAAAACGGTGGTGGATGATGATTCTTTACCACTAGGATTTGGCGACTAGGCCCCCATTTCTCCTCGCCTTCTTAGCATACCTTTGTGGCGTAGCGATCAGCACACTCGGCTCGTATTCGAGTGGTCCGTGGTTTGAGTTCCGGCGAGAGGGCATTGCTCCTGCATCGAAATAAACCTAATGTCTCTACAAATTGATTAATAAATAACAAGTTTATCTTTACGAACATTACTCCGTTTTCCCTAAGATTTTCTGTTGTCCATTTGCTTACTTCAAGACCTTTCAGAAAATAAATACTTTTAGTATATTAAGTCTTCTAATCGATCGACAACGTTTCATCAAATACTCCTAATTCAGAGAAATCCCAAAGAAATCTTATCCCTCTCTTCGTCTTGAAATATTTAGACATAAGACTTGGTAAAGATCTTGCCCTAATTATTCTCAGCAATAATCTGAATTAAGTTGTCCCATTTAAAAATAAAAAAAGTGCGTATAAAAAAAATACTTGAAAGTATACTTTTCACTCGATCAGGGTCGAACACAATATTTTCTATATCATCTTACATATAGCTGAACACTATAACTTCGGTGTTTCTGACCGAATTGCGAAATGTTGAACAAAGACATGGAAAAAACGCTTTCAATTCTTTGCATTCTTCCACTCTGACAAATCGAAGTAATGAAAAAGCATCGGTCAACAATTCAAATGGAACACTAAATGCTGGCAAAAGAGAAAATTATTGGCCGCAAACTTTTAAACAGGGTGTATCTTCACTTAAGGGGAAACTTAAAAATTTTAATGTAAAAGACCTATTTTCAGTCAGTGCACCACAACCTTAGATGGATGGAACGCCTTTAATTCCTTATCCAATTCTATTAAGTAATTCAAATTAATTTCAGTCATGAAATCTCCAGAAGGCTTTCCCTTATTCTTTCCAGAAAGGCTTATTACGCTCAAGAGATAACTACTTTAGCTGCCCAATCATTTCAACATTTTGGACTATTTTAAAATTTTAACTCTTCCATTTGCATAACCAAAACCTAAAAATTCCAAAGCATGAGTAATTATTCATGCTTGCATTTATGAGCAATATCTAAGGAAGAATTTAGTTTCTTATTTTGCGTTTTTAAATTATAACAGAATAATAGAAGTGAGCAGGATCAATATACAAATGCACACGGCTGCAAATATGAATTCAGAACTTAAGTGCTACTAACAACTCCGTCTTGGTAGTGAGTTCTCGAACTAATTGCATCAGAACTCAAAACGTGTCATAAAGTAAGAATAATCGAGCTAAAAACAGCGTATTATATTAGTATAACTTGTACATGATTCGATGAAATTTGAAATGCTCGTTATTGAAAATTAATTGGAATTACACGTCAAATAACCCTTTTAACGTTCAAGCATGTGCATCCAACGCTTACTGGGAAAAACCTAATCCAAGAAAACATTTCTACTTCACTAGGGCTGATTTAGAGATAGTAGGAGACATTAAAGATGCCACTAATTTTTAAAAACCTATGAGGTTAAGCGCTTGGTACACAGTGCGTCTACAAACTTTAGGATTAATTTGATAATTTGCAGCAAGTCTGGTAAACGATTTATAGCCTTTATTTCTATAAAATCTGAACGTGCTTTTTCTAGTTTATCTTCTACTTATAAGCAGAATTTTTTAACAGTTAAACTTCCTTCTATCAAGTGAAATATCTGCTGTCACGGATCAAAAATTAAGCAAAGAACAGAAATAAAATTTTACTGTTAAATGGGAATAATTCCCGAACTTCACAAGCAGTTTGCGACTAGAGACTAAGCTATTTTGTTTTTTTTTTATAAGACCCTGAGGCAAAACGATAATCATTTAATGGGACTGGAGATGGTTTACTACATCAACTCCTATTTTGGACAGGTTTCGATTAAAGATCACATTAGTGAGCAGTTGTTCTTATGGGAAAGAAATTACACACAATATATTTGTTCTTGAAAGACAGAAGGTGAACTCCATGATTTATAAAAGTATAATGAACGTATTTCGGAAGGGAATTTAGGAAGTTAAGCCTGAAAACGCTTAGGCAAATACCAAGTTTCTGCTGTATGATAATGTGCTATATGTCTTTTTATCAAGCGCTGGTTAACAGTAAAAAGTGCCACATTTGTTAGACATCTTCCCATTGATTAGATTTGGCATCTGTAAACTACTTCTCTTTCTTGAATAGAAGTCTTACTTCAGAAAACGGTGTTTGAATAATATATAATTAATTCAGAAAACTGCAAACAAAGATTTAAAGGCTATTCCAAAAGATAAGTTCTACAAAGGAATCATGCAGCTGTATAAAGGGGCTACACAATGCACGGACTTGCATAGATTGCATTTTAAAAGATAAAAAATTTAGAATATTGTTTTTCTCAACTTCCAATTTTGTATAAGGGTTTCGATTTTTCATTTTATGAAGGTGAGGAAATACTAAATTTAGCACACAATTTCTAGCCGAAGCACACGATTTTATATCAATCCGTAAACTGAGGTATATTGTGTTAGATTCAAACTCTGACAATTTTTTAAGGTAGTTCATTACGAAAAACAAGACTTTTGAGGTCATATGTCAAGAACCCATTTTCTTGAGTGTCCAAGTCTAGACTAGAGTGCTGTAAGCGTAGTAGACTTGCTGACTTGCAACAGAGAAATTTTTATATACATATAAATCCGACATGGCGTTAATTATATTACGGGCTTATACATATAAATCCGACATGGCGTTAATTATATTACGGGCTTATACATATAAATCCGACATGGCGTTAATTATATTACGGGCTTTGCGTTCATATGCGGAATTAGAGGCCTGTAATTCGTTTTTTAATCAAACCCAATTTCCCCATTGAATTAAATTGAATTAAAACAAGGCTTATACGGTTACGAAGTTCAACCTTGAATAGCCAACTCAGTACTCAATAACCTAAAAGACTGTGGAAATATTTTTCATCTCCTCTGATTTCTAGTAAGAAAGAGCACAGCTAAAGTAAGCGTTTAATATATTTATTAACACACCGCGTTTTTGGTTACACAAACTGAAAACTGCCAGGAACAAAATGGCGCTAATTTCCACGTAGGCAACACTTTTTTCAACACAAAATAAAGTGAACGTATCTCGTAAACTTAAACCGGCATGCTAATTTCAAATAGTTGAATTCAGAGCGGAGCAACAGTCTAATTGGAACTTGATATTTAATTTATATTTTAATCTAATTTGTGTTTTGGTGGAATTTAATGAAAATAAAAGTACAGAAAACCAAAATAATGTTAAGTGGTTAACTAAATAAAAGTTTACAAAATCATGGTAAGCAATTTTACCGATTTAATTTTACCAAATAATTACAGAAGTAAAAACGCAAAAAAATGTTGTCACCTTTTCCGGACAGCGGGTAGTGAGTAGCTGGACTGTGAAGAGGACACCTTTTCATCCTCTACATGAACATCGGGTAGAGAAAGCCGGACATATACGTGATCCTGACATGCCGATGAGTGCGTTACAGCACTCGGCCTAACCGGAGGCATGCCGGACGTTGTGGGACAGGATGAAGAAAGAATGGGCGGCGATGGATGCGTCCTCTGAGGTTGTTCTCGAAATATGCTAAAGTTCTGAAAGAAAAAGAAATCATGATAGAGGAGATTCAAAACAGGTCTCTTTTCAATTGATGCGAAAAATCTCAGTTACATTTTGAATTTATATATCAATCACATATCATATCCATTCTTACTGTAAATTAATTTCAGTGATACAGTTTCTATTAACATCATGAATTTTTATAATATTTTGTAAGATAAAGGCAGGAAAAACTGTCTCGGATATATATATATAGGCATACATAACCAACAAGTGGTCTTGCGTTTGTCTTTCTTTATGACCCGATATTGCTGCTGACAACTGACTGACCTGTTAATGCAATCACCAAACAAGCTGAAAATTTTCTATTAATTATTTCAGTTTGACGATTCTGATCTCCACTCTGATACCATGATGTTGCGACTCTGAACTTCATACCGAATACGGTACATGACATTTGGCGTCGCCAAATGTGGCAATCCTGCCTTCCTTGCTATTTTGTGGTAACCCTAAAACTGCTTTGCGGGATGTAAGATGGGGAAGATGGGTTCTTTGTAAGATGGGGAAGCCATCTTACAGCGCCTGGACATTTCGTAACACTGCCCCCTCCCAAGGACTGCACGTCTCGGGCAGTACAACCCTTGGTCAGAAGCCCAATTCAATACACACAAAACGTAAAAAAACAAACAAATAACATAACTAAAGAAACAAATATTTACACTGTGTTAAAAGTTATAAACACAAATTAAACACATAATAATTTTAAATTTTACAAATTAAAGTTAAGAATGAATCAGTCTTTTCATTAAGTTATACCCGGGTCAAATAATTTTCCACTACAGTTCTCATATGCATTTCTGTTCTGCATATCACAGTCTAAACAGTCAGTTCTTTGAAACTTTCCATCCACAGAAAGATCTGAAACAGTTTGCTCACCACTCTGCAGTTTGTTCGCATCATGTGTACAGTTCACATCGGTATTTTCAGCAGCTGGTACATGCACATTTTCCTCCGCTTCCTGGGAACCAGCTTCAAATTCTGCATCAGAGTCATGAACGGAGCCCAATACCTTACAAACGCAAGTATCCTGGTTTAGAATCAAAATCAAGTCCTTGTCTGCAAAACCTGCACTATGAAGCATACACCCAGTTTGTGAGGTGGGTGAATTTTCTTGCAATACTGGAGCCCACTGCTTAAGCTGCACATCTGCTTCCTCCATCTCTACATCACATGAACTTTCAGATGGTTCAATACTTGCTAACTGGGACTTCGTAACCTCACTATCATTTTTGACGAACTTAACAGTCACATTTTCACTTCAGGCACTTGTGAATCAAAAGCTTCTTTCCCGTCTTTTATTTCTTCATGTTTTCGGTTTTCCTTTAATCCCGTTAGATGTTTCATCCATCATTTCTTGATTTTCCCGTTAGATGTTTCATCCATCATTTCTTGATCTTTCTCAGGCAATTCATTAGCTACTTCCTTCATTTCTACATCGTCTTTTATGGCACCAGTTTCTTCTGGAAGCTCGACTTTCACCTATCGGAGTTGCTCTCGCATCTTTTCTTGGCCGACAATTATTTCTTCTCATCGGACTTTCTTCTCTTCCAGTCTGTCTTTCATCTCTTTCAATCTGGCATTCTTTCAGCCTTTATCTCCTCCTTTGTGTTTTCAACATTTTGTGTTTTCAACATTTTGAGGGCTGAAATGAAAGCCCATCAAAGTCTTCGTTTCCTCCGCCATGGCTTTCCTCTGCAGGATGGTAACTGGCATTCATTCGCAAACCCCACTCTGACACCAATTGTTGCGTTTTTTTTTCTTCACGGGTTCGTGCAGGGTTCGTAGATTTGGAGTGAATAATGACGATACTTGATGAAAATACACTTTATTTAGCCAATGATAATCAGGACAGCTCCGAAATAACATTTTACAATCGTCGAAGATCTCCCATAAAAACGCTGGAACAATCAGAGACACAGTCTTCACACTATCAGGCAATAACGGTGGAGACAGCTTCACTTCAAAGCACCAGAGTACAGCTCTCGACTCTGCTCGGTCGTTCTCGGAACTCCACGTATTCTCGAGACTCTCCACGCTACAACACGCGATGCACTCGACGGCACACAGAACACAGCTCCTCACTCTTCGATTCAGTCGTTCCAGGAGCTCAACTCGCTCCCTCGACGATGCACTAACCGCGATACACTAAAAGACTCTTTCGATGCACTCGACGACCCATTCGGCACACGCTGCCAGGCTGTCAACTCGATCGACTCCGCACGGACTGACTAACTCTCTCGCAATCTAAATGAGGTACACACAACTGCCTGTGGACCAGCAGGGTTTATGTAGCTTTCGGCTTGTGTTCGTGAACATTCTAGGCTAAACTGGTAAGAATTCGTTCCAGAAGGTTCTCCATTCGTCCATGGCATATCGCCAATTGTGTCGCCATGTATCGCCAAATGCGCGATTTCTCGCCAGATGTGGCAACCCTGCCTTCCTTGCTATTTCTTGGCAACCCTGAAACTGCTTTGCGGGGAAGCCATCTTACAGCGCCTGGACATTTCGTAACAATACTTTCTAATCTTTATACTATTTTGTTAATTTAAATAAACTGGAAATCTTTGCTTTTACTAAAAATTGGGGCTCCTAGTTTCAAAAACGTACTGTACCCCGATTACGTGAAGACTTTTTTCTTTTATAACCTGACTTTTTTCTTTTTCCTCAACTTCAAGCTAGTTTAGGTTTCGCGTTTTAAGAGTTTATTGTGTACATTATCTTTTAGAAAGTTTCTCCCGCCGCCATGTCAGAGTTGCCACTTACCTCTTCATCGGTAGTAATTTTTACAGACCACACAAAACAGCAGTCCCACATACAAATTTCAACTGGATAGGACATTTTGAACACACGTTAAAATACATTTTCTACTATAGGACACTTTCAACCTTATCCCAAACATTTTTCTAAGAAATACAACTGTTAGCTTCTCCAAGAGTAGATTGAAGTTAACTTTATTTTGCACGGAAAACAGTTTGGAAAAAAATGGTCGTAATTCAGTAAGTATATGTTTTTTTTTTTTTTTTTTTTTTTGTTTTGTTTCTAATAGGTTTTCAGTTTTTAGCTGTTTAAGGCTAGGATTAGAATTTTATATTATCTACAGAAATCTCTTCTGAAAATATTTTCATTTGCATGGTATTAAAGTTTAGGATTAATCGGAGACCACCCAATTTTTTAGTGTTTTTGAAATGACAATTTGATTTAAAAGTGTACTCTTTTGCTCATTTATTTGTAATTGCTTTTGAATGTCGGATTAAAATTTAATGCATATTTGACAATTTTTATTGTTTTGAGTAGTCAATTTTGCATAATGATATGTTTTATTCTTTTTGTCCAAGTGTTTCGAATGCGTGTAGGGAAAATTATAGATATATCTGAGATTCGATCTTTCGGTTTTAAGTGAAATTTAATTGAATCCTTTTTCCGGTTCTTGACCTCAAATGATTCAGCAGAACAAAACATGCATTCGAAACATATTAATCGACTTTTATGAAACTCTAATTCATTTTCCCCTGATGAGTTCAGAATTAGAAGGTTTTAGGAAAAGGAGATTGATTTTCATTATTTTTTTCCTTTTCGTATTTTTATTTTTCGGGGTTATTATACTAATGAATTCTTATTTTAATTTTGATTTGTTTAGATACAATGTTAGACCTCTTATCCACGGTTGCAATTATTAATATTGTTGGGTAATTGCCTTGTTTTGATTCCAATTTAATTTTAGCTTTAGATGCTTTAAGTTTATATATATATTCGTATTTATCTTTTTATTTGTATTTGCTTTTGAATTTCGAATTTGCATATAATGAATTTAGACCAGATTGGTTTTTATGCATGGTCATTTTACTTAATGTAAAGTTTTATGGTTTTTTGAGTAGTCGGTTTGACACAATGTTATGTTTTATTCCTTTTTCCAAGTGTTTCGAAGTAAGAAAAATCCTGGTACATCTGAGATTCGACTTGTCGGTTTTATATAAATTTTAATTTCTTAAATGAAAATATGATTCATTCTTTTTTCGGTTTTGGATCTCTGAACCAGGAGAACGAAACATGATTTCGAAGCATGTTAAGCAACTTTTTGAAACTTTAATTCATTTTCCCCTGATGAGTTCTGAATTGGAGTTTCAATAATAGGAGATTAATTTTTATATTTTTATTATTTTGTATATTTTTCTCTTTTGAATTTTTATTTTTTAGCTTTGTACTACTATTAATTCTTATTTTAATTTGATTTCCTTAGATTTTGTGTTAAACCTCTTATACACGCTTGCAATTATTAATAGTGTTGAGGAATTGCCTTTCTTTGACTGAGATTTACTTTCAACTTTAAATGCTTTATGTTTATTATACTTCTATCCTGCAGCTATAGCGTAGGACAGGTATAAATATTTTGTTTTTAATTTTTAACCTAAAAAATTTTTTTAAAAATTAAAAATGTATATATATAATCATAAAGAAACCTAATATACATTTTTTCAAGAGTGTATATATATATACACACTTGGAAAAAAGTTATTTTTCATTTCCACCTTCCAGTGGATTCAGTTCAGCAATTGCTGGTAAGAGCCATTCAAAGGTTAGTATGATGCTTCCATAGGAATTCCGCTAAGATGACTTCCAGGTAAAGTCATACTTCTGTGTTTCTTATTCTACCATTTTCACGGATCCACATTACCATTCTATATTCTACGTATGGATGCCAGTCGTAGGATGTATAGCTTTGTTCAAAAATGATATAAATAAGCTTCTTCCAGTTTCTTTAGCTTTATAAACTTTCCAACAGTCTATGTAGATCACTGATCCCTCATTCACGTGCTCTTGACTACTTATCATCACGGTTCTTTTGTTTCTCTTTCGCACTTAAACTAAGAAGCATTTGCCTCTGCTGCGGCAAACGTAGCCTAAAAATGCATGTGTATAATATTTGACATCATCTGACACGATTTATGGTTTGCCTTTCTTTTCAGACGGTATTAAT